CTAGACAGAGCAAGCAGCTCTGGTTGAGATGCAGCAACTGGACATCAGCATTCAGTCCCCTGAGGGGCCTGAATCTGCAGTCACACTCAGGGCAGATACAACACAAAGCAATGACATCAAGCCCCTCACGTGAAATGCAGCCACGGCTGCTTCCCATTTAAACCATGTGAGAAGCCATCTGGGCATGCGTATACAGCAGAGTAGGTATTCAGAAGTTAGTAAGAGATGGCACTTCAGACCAACAACTCTCAAGAGACAACTCTTAATTCCTAGTCTACAAAAAAAGGCCGGAACCTCCTTACTTGCTTGCTGAACTAGAGTCATTGGACAAGTAAGCACAACCAAGTCCAAGGAGACCTGGAGGGACATACAGAAGAAATACAGCAGGTCACCAGATTTTTAAGGAGCTGCTGTTGAAGGGAGAGTCAAACTCTAGTTCCTGTTCCACTACTTGCTTTCTCCTGGGCACCTACAGAAATCTAGTTCTTCACTTTAGAGAATTAATAACAGTTATGTAGGTAGAGGACAAAAATGTTCAAGGCAATCATCTTCAGCAATAGCTTATTGTATGAGAAATGCTGCAGGGACCTCATTCCTCCCACCCCTCTTCCTGTAACCAAACCTTAAATGGAAAGCAGAGCGCCACAGGATACCAGAAGGGCCTCGGTACCTGAACCATACAGCCAAAACAAGGCATATAATACATCCCTGCACTCACTATTCCCTATTGGTGAGCACTAGCAAGTGCCCTGAACAGGACATGGCACATCTAAAAGCTCTTCTGAGGCACCTGTCCCCAAACATAGCCTACGTATCCTGGTTTCTCCTCTCTAGGAGCTAGCTACGTAAAAAATGAGACAGGTCTTACTCATGGCTAAGCATGGCTTCAGATTACTTTTGGATACTAACAAGAAACAGAGCATTCCCCTTCCAGTGCTTAGCTTTTTCTCAATTACTATAAGACTAATGAGCATTTGCTGATCCATTTTCCACTCTAATTTCACACTGCAAACAAAAGAACAGTACGTTATTAAAGGAAATAAGTTATTAAAGGAAAAGGTTGTTTAAAGGGCCCTTCATTGTGGTATTCCCATTTTAATTTTCAGATAACATGACACTTCATAGTACTCACAGAAAGATCCCCCCAATTTACAATGTTCTTGCTTAATCTGGGTCACATTCCCAACTATGCTCTCTGCTTACACATGAACTGGAGAGAAGTTTACTCACCAAGGACTGCTATTTATGATTTCATTGAAGTGTCTTCACCCAACACTTGGGTGCAGCGGTGTAACATACAGTCATGCACACTGCAGGGCTGAACAGCTGGGTTTGGAGCGGGGCAGGCATTTTCAGAAAGCTCCTCTCATGGCACAGGTGAGTGACTGCTCCCCTTGAGTCATCGCAGCTGGGTTCAGTAAAGAGCAGCATCTGGCTTTTCCCAGGAAAGAAGCTCCCAGCTCAAACCCTGTTCAAATCCAGCTTTCACAGTGGAGGTCCAGAAAATTCCCAATTTCTAATTTTTTTTTTTAAAAACAATGATGCACTATTTCTACTTAATTAAGACAGCTAAGTATTATTAGAAGCTGTAAGTAAATATTTTATGATGCAATTACACTTTTTTAATTGATGGATTAATCATTTGAAATCTGAACTCCTTACCAGAAAGTTTGCATGTCATACAAGGTTTTATTAACATTTGAATTGTTTTGGGTTTTTTTCCCTTCCCAGCATACTACATTGATAAAGTCAAGATTAAAGGCTACTATGCATTTAAGCTGACTGAAGAAAAATCTAAGCCCAGATTTGGATTCTTCACTTCGGATTCAAAAGGAAAGCCTTCAATAAAATTTTACAATAACCTGATAAGCAACAACGGCTTTCCTGCTGACTATTCAGTCTGCGATCCCTCCGACCAAGAAAAGCAGTGTAGCTTCTGCTTGTTTGTTTCTCAGAAAAAGCCATTAATATTTTTTGCCTGCTGCCTTTTCTCTACCCTCATCTTGCTTTTAACCATTATTGTTTTTCACAAAAGAAAAAGAAGAAAACGTTTTAAGGCAAAAAGGAGCCAGTGCATCTGTGTTTCATTTTAAAAAGGGGGCACAAGCCCACTTTCAGTGAGATCCATCGCTGTTTGCATTCTACAGAGGACGATGCAGATCAGACAACTGTAGAAAAGCACTATGTGAGTCACTCCAGTTATACATACCAAGCATTTAGTTCAAAACCGCGAAGTAATCATATGCACAGGAAGAAGAGCTATGACGACATTCGTTTCTGGTGAAATTACTTTTATCCACCTACTGTACATAGAAGAAGATAAATTCCTCTAGTTAAAAGAATATTTTATGACTCTCCTGTGCCTTGGAATAACCTTTCAAACAGTGTGACTTGAAAAGAGATATTAAGCTGCGAGAACTGATATGCACTTTTCTATGAACCTCTGGACCAAAGCATCTTGTGATGTATATTCATGTTATGAGTGTTGCTGAGCATGAAACTGCAGTTGTTAGGGTTTACAAATAAAAGTGTTACTAAAACCCACGAACTTTCAACTAAATACACCACCAAGAATGAAATGTCCTGGGTCAGCTTCTGAAGGTACCTCTAAATAACAAATCCAAGTTAACTCCATTATCGACAAACATACCCATATCTCTTACATATTGGGTGAAGCAGACATCAAATGCTTTTAAGCAAATGTAACTGGACCCACAGGAGACAAGTCAAAATAATATACAATCACTATTTTTCATCTCCAAAATGAGGCAGCCATAAAAGTTTTACTAGTGGAGAACATCAAAATAAATAGTAACTATTAATCCACTCTAGAGAGTGATGAATATAGTTCTAAATTGCACTTTTTCATAGAAATAAATACACATTATCATCTTAGCTCTGGTCAAATGCCAATGCAAGCCATGGGTGGGATAAAACCATAAGAGTTTATTGCTATTGCTGCATTAAACAAAAGCTACCAACCCAGGCATAATGGTCTTAAAGGATAAATGAATCTCCTCTCTCATTTAAACTTCTCAGGGACCAAACCCAGAGGTTTCCCTTAGTCTGGTTTTGGTCATCTCAAAATGAGCTCAACAGGTTTTCCCCATGAACTGCACCACCATTTAAAATTCACATCGGCCAGCCTTTTCAGTCATTGCATCAGATCATCACTGCCCATGCAGGTACCCCATACCTCTGGAGAGGGGTAGAGAAGCTGCTCTAGGAGTGGAATGAGGGGCAGAAAGAGCCATCAGTTAAATTCCTACTGCCTCCCTCCACAACCTTCCTTTCCAGCACCTAGTACCATTTTCAAGACACAGTGAAACCCCCAACCTGTTCCTACTAAAAGCTAGTTACCTCAGTCTTAAGGACCCCAAAACAGATACACTCACTTTACCTGTTCCCCAGCACCTCTGAAGACGAGGCATATAAACACATTGTCTTTTCCAACTGCATCTGAACACACAAGATAGCATCAAACACAAGGTAAATGATAATGTATTATGATAAAGTAAACAATAATGTACATGATGAATTATTATGGCCACTTACATACTGGAAACTTTATGGAAGTGCCACTCTGAGGATATGAGCAATTGGCAACCCCAAACTCCCAATACTTGACCCAACTTCGAGTCTCAGTCCATAGATCTATGAGACTATTTCTCCATTATATTTCAAGTATTGGTCAACATCACAGAAGGTTCATTAATTCAAAAGATAAGTACCAGTAAAATGATGAGGGACTCTGGCCCATTTTCCACTAGAAAATGTTATACCAGCACAACTGTTCGAGGTGTGTACATCCTTCCACCACCCAAAGACACTGACTAGTTATCACTCACAGCAACCGTGGAATCACACTGAAGCATACTACAGGGAAACTCCTCTTGAATTCCATGTGCACCGTGGGAGCACAGAGAATTTTTGAAAACTCCCTTCTCTGCACGATTTGAACAGCACACGAACTTATTATAAAAATGTTAAGCAGGCCACGTACAACTTCCATGGCTGCAGTTTAGTACCACTACTTTCCCAGGATTAGAGACAGTAGTACCGCACACCCCTGTTGAACTCAGAATTGTGCAAGCGGGTGCTTTGGGCAGTTTTCTGAATTTCTTAGGCATGCATAGATGCTTTCCTGAACATTAAGCTTTAGCCACTTGTTGCCAACTACCTTCTGCACTACCCCAGTATTTCCTGTGAACCTTTTTTCGAAACAATGTAACAAGTGACAGTGTGATTTCTATCATAGTACAGAAATAGCACAACATCTAGATATTGCTACATGGCAAGATTAGTAACCAAGAAAAAACAGAGCTATCTCCCCAGATGACACAAACCGCTAAAGTCAGCAATAAGCTCTGCCTGAACTCTTGAAATCAAGCCCTTGGTTTTCTTAATGGAGCAATATAGCTAAGGTATTGTACTTTCAGACTACTTCTTCTATCTCTGTATTTAGTTTAAATGGTCTTACAAATCTGGTTCTACCAACTCCAGTTTTGTTTTTACTCTACTCTACATTCTGTCATCGCAAGTCTGAATTCCGCTCCAGAAACTGTACACGGAAATCAGTTTTTGCAGTTTGAGGTTCTGAAATGATGTGAAAGAACACTAGCCTTCTTTCTGTGAGAACAATGCCTTTGTTATTTCTTAATGCTATGATTTAAAACTACCACTTCATGGCTTTACCTGCTGGGTCCATGTGCCACCAGCATGAGGTTTCCAAACCATCAGACTTCCGTCTGAATGTTCTGAGTCTGGTGAAGCAACATGTATACAGTGCTAACGTTATCTTGCATTACCCTGTGACAATCTGTTTCTCCAAAAGCCAAAGATCTTGAACAGGTTCATGCAATCACCATTTAGTTCTTAAAAAAAAAAAAAGAGGCCAAGATATGAAATATGTTTTAATTTATTAAACATCTCATGGTGTTTGGGTTTTGTATAGACTCTTCAAGTTGGTCCTTGCTGATATAATGTCTCATGGTCTTTTGTTCCAGGAGCCAGACAACTGTAAATAAAGTTAAGAGCTTTTAGAAAGATTTTAGCACTGCAAATGTGAAATTGAAAGTTTAAAGACATATGACAATTTATCTGATAGTTTTAATGCAAGACAGACATCAATAGCTCAAAGGGTTTGCTTAATTTTATTCAGACAAGATTACTTAAAGATGCCTTCAACCACAACAGCTCACGACTGTTTAACAAGCAGGTAACAGGTTGTTCTGTCTCTCAAGGAACTGAGAACAGCACTAAAAATAATTTTTTCAGTAGCTTGCAAGTATCTGGTACCTGGCTCGTGATAAAAAGAATTTTAGTTTATGAAACTCACTTTGCCTGCATGCTCCATCTCAAGTTTAGTTTCAGAAGGTACACAACATTTATTTTATTTGCAGTCAGCCTGTCTCAGTCATCCTGCACAAATGTTCTGTACCATGTATGGAATCATACATAGCTGAAATGCATCAAATTCCTTTAGCAGTTAAAATTCTTACATTATCCCAAAATCCTTGTACTCAACTTCAGTAACAAATGTACATACACAGTGTAAATAGTTGCCATTGTTAAACTGACCTTTGTTTACAAGCATTTACACACAAACCACACAGAAGACCTTTATATATAAATTATGTGCTGACCACTTTTTTTAGTGAGGTCAGTGTCCAACCAGGAGGAACATTAGTCTAAGAGCCTTCTCTGTAAAGAGCTGTGAACCAGTCTGTGATGCTAGGTCAGCTGGTTTTAAATTCTCAGCCACCATCATAACGAGCATTCACAGCATACAATACAGCACTTTAGAGTTAGATATTTCTCCATACAGCAGCATAATACCAAGTTGATGAGAGATGGAAAGTTGCTGTCAAAAGACCTAGCAAAATTTAAGTTTTATGACACCTCTTATGATGCCTTTTACAAGCACAACTGCATCCCTGTGGGGAACCTGCTTAACCACAGCCTTCTTAAAGTAGATAAACCTTGTCAAGTCCCCAAATTGAATAACCATCTCCACATTGAAAATGTACAATCTGTGTTAAGATGATACCAACCTATTAAGAGTTTTACTCATCTGCCTGCTGTACTGTTCCTTTCTCAGAGACATAGATACCGTCCAAGAATTTCCTGATATCCTTGTTCTTGACTGTAGTGGCTTGCTGGATCAAGGCAGCTGCAGGCAAAGTAAGACCATTAGCACAAAGCAAGAGGTCTGAACGAACTCGGAGCCTTTGTTTACTCTCCGATATTTCAACTAACAAATGAAACTGTCATCTGGAGAAAGGAATCACCAACTTGAAATCCTGTTGGTTCTAATAAAAACAGAACACATTTTGCTAAGCCTGCCTTGGCAGCCCAGGGCAGTGCCAGTTTATTACTGCACACTCGTACAACTGAAAAGCTGAAAAGTTTGGTGCCAAGGCAGCCAAAAAAAAAAAAAAAAAAAAAAAGGCAGGGGTTCTGTGGACTTGTAAAATGTCTCTAAGTTTAGAAAAAGCATAGGGAACTAAGAAAACCAATTATGGTGACTAGAAGAAAAAAAATTCTGAGCTGTCGTTTACCTCAGGTTTTGATAACAACAACAGTTTGCTAAGCTCACACCTCCAGATGAAAGTGGCTGTATCATTTTTATCTTCCCACAGATCTACTTTCACAAACCTGAATTGGAGACCAATTCAATGTCATTCCCTTCAAGGATCAGCTCATCTTTCTGGGCTTGAGATACTGCACAGGAAACACCTACAGAAAGGAAAACACACAATCTACATTGTTCGTGAAGATGTTAAGCATACTAAAGAAACAGTATTTACGTTCTGTCCCAATTTACAGATCTATAAAGTACTATCTAGGCAATAATTAGCTTCCGTGACTTTGTTAAAAGAGTCCCCCAAATCCCTTCCAAGACTGTCCTCCCTCACGCAGTTTCAGCACTCAAAGATCAGTGTAAGTCACAATCTGGACTGAAAGCAACCAAGTGATATTCCTACTTAAATGTTACAGCATTAATCACCAACACTGCTTACAGCCAGAGATTTTGCCAGCATGGCTTCGCCAGCTAGGTGGTGCCATTTTCCACATTCTTATGGTCATTAAAACAAAACTAAGTCATTAAAAAACTCCTGCCCACTGACATGTCACACACCATGTTTATACTGGCAACACTGCGAGGACTCACAAGGAGTAAACGCTAGGACATCCCAGGAAACTTTCAATTGCAAGGAGAATAACATAATTAAGTTTTTACAGTTTGATCTATTAGTCAATAGGTGTTAGCTTTTAAGCCAGCACTTTACTATCTTTGAAGTAAATGGTGACTTAAATCAAATACAATAATCGAACCCACCCTTAATATCCCACAGTAAATCAAAGTCAAAGCCACCCTAATAACTCCGCACTGTATCTACCAGTGGTTTTGGGCAAGTCTGAAGCTTTCACCTAAAGCTACCCCAAAACACCATCAGTCACACTAAATATCCTTACCCATACCTTCACCAGAAGTGGAATTATTAAAAAAAAAAAAAAAAAGACATGGAAAGCCTTCCCTACAGTCCTAAGGTAACTGTGTTTATGACATGTTTTGTCTCCTCCTTTCAGAAATTTAACAAGCTCCATCAGATGCCTACTCTGTTAGACATTTTGCTAAAACTCCCAAGTATGCAAGACGTAAAACCAACAAGTAAGATGATAATTTTGAAGTTTATTATACATGCTCCTAGACAATCAGGAAATTCAAAATACACCACCACTTCAAAGACCAAAAATATGATGTGGTCTGAAACTAGTTCATGTACAATGTTTAAAACAGAAACACAGATCTAAAATTAAGCACCTGCAGTTTACCAACTATGAACACTGTCAAGATCTCACAATGATGAAAGTAAACACTGGGCTCCTTGTAACTCGTATTACAATAACCAGCTCTAAATTAGTTATTAGCTATTAGCTAACACTCATTACCAAAAAGAAACTACAAAAGCATTAATAATAAATCTAAACAGTGGCAAAGGTATCATAAGACTACACAAACTCAGACAGGCAAATGCTGCTTCAACAGTCACTTGCCATCTCCTGTTATCAATGGCAGTACCCAAAGAAAATAGTTTAGAAACCCTAGTTAGAAATAGTAAAGTACATCTCCAGATAGGCTCACCTGGCCTCATACGGACTCTGCGAATGTACTTCTCTCCCAAGAAGTTTCGGATTTCCACGAGTGAGCCATTATCCTGTATAACTACGTTGATTGGGAAGTGAGCGTACACTGACCTCATCTTGTAACGAAATCCCTAGGATAAAAGACATTAACAGATATTGAAAGCAGAATGTATCCAAAAGGTAAAACAGATGCGTAAAGCTTACTGGAGATATCTAAAGCCAAAACATATTGAAAATAGTTTCTTAACAAGGGCAAGCCACTGAGACCAAGAGACATCCAGAGTTTATTGTTCATGCTTTCTTCCACCTGCACAATCTGTTTGACAGCACGTGCAAAAAAAAAAAAAGAGACAGAAAGCTACACCTTGGATGCTTAGAAAAGCTCTCACTAAAAGAACAGACTGTCTGTTGCTGTCAGTATGACGAGTGATCCTATTTCAAAATAAAACTCACCAGTGTAACACCCTTTATCATGTTCTGTACATGGCTGCAAATTGTGCGAACTGTTGCCAGCTCCTTTCTGTTACCCCACCACTTGTCAACACGTAGCTGTGTTAAAAGAAATAAATAAAAATAACATAGCTTTCAGCTACACTTCAGAACTAGAAACATTTTTGTCACAAACTAACAGCAAGAATTTCAGGTAAACTACTTGGAATCCCTCCTAACAAAAGCACAAAGGTATTTTGTTTCTTTGAAAGACTGCTAAAGGCCCACCTAGAAGTCTTTTAAGTCCTAACCCTCAGACATATGAAAAATAAATTTTTTCTTTATATCTCATTACTAACAAATCTTCAGAGAAACTGGGATAGATAGATATTCTGACATCTTAAACTATAAGATGTTTTATGAAACGCTACACACTGAACAGGTTGTTCCAAACTCAGTCTCCCAGGTACTATCTATCAACTTTTTAATGGAACACCGTGTGGGGGTACAGTGTTTTAATGAAACACTGAAAAAGTACCCAAAATCAGCCGCTCTTCCCCTTTTTTTTTTTTTGTGGTTTTTAAGACAGTACAAGAATATTATGCATTTATTTAGAATACATCTGCTCTCCTGATGCTAACTTGCCAATTCTGGAAATTAAACGTAGAGATTTAGTTTTATCTAAATAAAACTAGCCAGTTCATAAAACACAGCATACAATGATCATACAATGATCAATCCCCTTCCCAGTAACTACCTGTCTGTAAGTACAAAAGAATATCAATCAACAAATTCACTCCAATGTATCAGAGAAATTCCAAGAATTCCAGTTCCCGAGCAGGTCCCAATGTTCCATGAGACCAGGCTCTTCCAGAAAACACAAAAACAAGCGAAAAACTAAATAACTTATCTGTGGCTAAAAGTTTTGGTTCAATCTCCTACACTATCAAGAAGTTTTAAAGCTAACTGTAAAGCTAACCCTCCCTCTCTGGGCAGAGAAATGACCTCCGCAGTGCTCACCTTCTTGTGTTTCTTTCCCAGGAGGGACAGCTCCACATTGATGTGGTTAAAATCCCTTCGCAAGGTTCCTCTGGGGCCCTTTACGATGACTGTCCGGCCCTTCAGTGAAACACTGACTGGAAATCAGAAGGCAGACGCACATTAACCGGCTGCGGGGTCAGCACCACAAAACGCCTTTCGAATGCACACGCAGACATACCTTGCTCGGGGATGTCAACGGTCTGGTTGCTGAGAATGGTCTTCATCCTACGAAGTACAACCGAAAGAGGCTGCAAACCCTGAAGACAAGGCCCTTTTTCTGCGCCCCCTCCGCTCCTCCCCCGCACGAACCCTGGAACGCGCAACTACCAAGCGCCCACCCGATGCCCCCCGCCTCCCTTCTGCCACCTCCGAGCCGCCGCGGCGCCGGGCTCCGCTTCCAACACCGATACACCCCGCCCCGGGCCCAGAGCAGCGGCGAGACGCGGCGGCCTCAGCGCTCAACTCCACAGCGGGGCCCAGCCCGGGCCGAAACCGGCGGGGGGAGGGGGGGGGGGGGGGGAAGGCGCCATCCCGGCGGCGTCTTTCCCGCAGGGCTGGGGACGGAACGCGGCGGCTGGGCCCGGCGCCGCCCCGGGAGGCTGCCCGCGCCCCGGCGGGGCGCTCGGGGGGGCTGCCCGCCGCGGATGGCCCCGGATACCGCCGGCGGCCCGCGCCTCACCTCGCAGCAAGCAGAGCGGAAAGAGGCAGCGTCTGACGTCATCGCGTACTTGTAGCCGATCCGGCCACCCCCCTGGCGTCATCGCGCCGAGGTAGCCGTCGACGAGGCGAGAGCAGCCGAGGCCCGATGCGCTGTGAGCTG